AGCCGCAGATCGATGTATGATGTCGTTTACCGCAATTTTGACATGTCGCGGTACTTTTACATTCCGACGATTTGTGAGGTCCTGTGCAATTGAAACAAAGTCTCTTGATTGCCAGAAATTCTTTGCGTTCTGTCGGTGATGTGATTTTACCACATTCTGATGGCTTGTGGTTGTCTGCTTGACAGTACACACACTTGCGTGTCCTTTTCTGCTGAGCTTGGAACATGCGGTCTCGTCTCCTGGGTGGCAACGGATCTTCTAATCTGAAGTTATCAATCGGGTTTCGACGTGTCCATTGGCGGAGTGCTTCGGTGAACTTCACGAAATCCCAGGTCTCCCAATCTGGATCGTTTCGTACAAGGTCCCCTCTGATTGCCGACAGTTTTTCGAGCGTCAACGAAACCATCCCATTCACTTCATGAAGTGATTTGAGTGAGTCGAGGGACTGCACGCTATAGGAAAGTTTGTCGTAGAATTCGTGAATTCTTTTGAGGTTTCCGGTGGGTGTGTGAGGCAGCTCAAGAATTTCCTTTACGTAGGCCTTTACTATTTCGCTATGCTTTCCGAATCGGTCTTTAAGGATTGATAAGGCTCGATTGTAACCTTCAGCTGAATGTGGCAACGGTTCGATTGTTCTCCTAACTTTGACGTCCAGTAATTCACGCAGGTACGTGAATTTAGTAACAGGCGGCACGTCTGTTTTGTCGATGGATTCGGAATATTGCCCCCAGAATCTTGGCCAGTCGGCATATGTTCCGTTAAACTTGGTAATAACCAGCTTGGGTAGTTTTGCTTGACTGACAGGCGTTTCCGCGGAAAGGTTTTGGTTTCCTGTTTTGAGCTGAAAATTCTCTTGCAATTTTAGCTTTGTCTCTTGAAGCTTAATTTCAAACTGCATCTTTTCTTCTCGCTCTTGGTTTTCTGCTTCAGTTTTCCGTTTCATCAACCATTCTTCGAGGGTTTCGATCCGACCATCCGCTTCTTCTATTCTTGCGTTAATTCCATCATTCCACGTGCTGATTTCGTCATCGCTAACTTCCGCAGCTATCTTCTCTCCTTCAACCGTTCTTCGTGCGTTCTCTACTTCTGTGAGAAGTTCTTTTAAGTTCGTCAATTGTCTAGATATAGTAGATTGCTTTCCGCTAGTAAGTATGCCATCAGTTTTATCCTCTGTCCTTTTAAGTTGCTTAAGTTTTGTTTCCAGAGTAGATTCGGCGTTTTCCATGATTCGTTCGATTTCGAGGTTAATTAGGCGTAGGCTTCGTTGCAGATATAAACGAGAGCTAAAAGGTAAATTGAGGACACAAGTTATACTCACAATCGTCCCTTCGTGGTCGCCACGTTTGCTGGACTCCTCCGGCCGCTGGAGACAGTATCCAAGACAAGTCACAAATTTGATGTTAACGTGTTTAATAATCGCAAGATTCACAAGGTCTTCGCACAATCACGGTCAATCTACCTCTCTGTCCAATAGATTCGAATTAACAACTTAAAGGGGGGCAGGCTCTCAATAATAAGCACGTACTTCCGTTGTCACGGGTTACATAATTACGTAATATGTGCCCCAGTCCTCGACAGATGATCCTGATTTCTCTGATATTACCATCAGCGCAAAGCCTAGAAGACATCATTACAAAACACTTATGTGCAGGGATCAGGGACTGGTGATAAGTCTGAGTTGGCTTTCCGGAGAATAACCGTGCACCCCAGAAGGCATGAATAGATTGTGCTAGTAAATTCAAGAAAAGTTCCTTCACCATATACCCAAAAGTTGCTCTAAAGTTGCTCAAATATCAAAAAGTTGCCACCAAAATTTAGAAAAGTTGCTTGCTCTCTAGAGTCGTTTTGTTTTAGATAAATACTCAATGATGTCCATGAACCCACCCCATAGTAACTGAAGCTTTTCTGAATTATTGTAACCAGGAAAAAGAGAAGAGAACTGAATATTTTGCATGACCTTTAGTTTTTCAGGACCCGTGAGATGTCTATAGTCCAGTTTTTTGTGTCTTTGTTTATTCTCCACTCAAAAGAAATGCTAAGGGTTTTGAGAAACGTTTCATATGCTGCCATATGTTTAAATTTCTCTCGAGAAAAACCATTGGGAAATGTTGTTATCTTCTCACAAGCATCCTTTCTCCTTAATTCCCTGATTAAAAGTTCTGTTAAATTATCTGATATGCGGAGAAATAAATGCAAGGTATCAATAATGACGTGATCAATTGGTATGAAATTAAATAATGGAGTTGCTTTGCAATTAAACTTTTTTGATTTGGCAAAGCTTGAAATTTCCTCCAGTGATCTGGCACCCTGAGCACTGTTAGAAAGTGACCATACCCTTTGGATGTCATGTCTCTGGCTGCGAGGGCATTTGCACCAGATACAGGCGTAGTCTTGGTTAGCAGCCCCCAACCCACAGACACATGCCAGGAACTTCCAATCCCCACCGAGAAAGTATTCAATATTATAGGTTTTACCCTCAACTGTTACCTTATTTAATTTCGACATTTCTTGTGTTAAATCAGACAGACTTTCCTTCAGATTGTCATAGTTTTCACTTGTCTTGAGTATAGCCAGAACATAATTGCCCTTCTCACTCATTGCAGCCTCTTTCTCATTTAAAATTGTATATGTTGCATTTACTAGCTTAAGTTTTTTTCCAATGTTTGTGCCATCTCCACTTATCTTCACCCCAATGGTATCTCCTT